AAATGTTTAGTATTTTCTAATAATATTCAAGGAGAGTATAACATTAATAGGTAGGTGAGTGAGTTTACATCTTCTTGCGCCAAGTGATCAATAAGATTGCGGTACTGCGTTATACTGAAGTGGGGACAATTGTCATAATTCATTCCAAGCGAAGACCACCTACAAATCGAAAACAATAAAATTTATTAATAATATGCTTAATAAATAAAAACACTTTGATAGATGAATGAGAATTGGAAAAAATAATTACCTTTTAGCGAATGGGAATTCAAACTGATTTTGTTGGATAGGTGCTAGATTGGTCATTCTTGACCAACCCCAAGATTGTAGAAGAACACCACATCCGGTCCAATTTTCGGTATTGGCTATTGAGTTATGACATAAAGACCGATATAGGTGCGCTAGTGTAGCGGACCCCCAACTATATTGTTTTATTTTATCTACGTCATCTAATAAAGGTAAGTACATAGAGTGAACGACGCTTCCACTTGTATCCGGACATAAAAATAACCCTATTAATAGCATTATATAAATTCGGGTTTTTCTAATTTTTAGAATTTCAGGAGAATCGGGGGTTAATGTCAAGTCTCTATAAATTTTTTTGAGCCATGACATTAAAAGTTTTTGTCCCCTCAAATCTCGTGGGGTTGGTTCAACCCCCAAGAGTTCTCTTATGAAATTACCGGTAGGATTGGTTTTACCATTAACCGCCTTACCATGAATGGGTAAACCCAATAACATGTATGTGTCCTCGAGTGTAACTACACATTCACCTATTGGAAGATGAAATGTGTGCGTCTCGGGTCGCCACCTTTCTTGCAAAGCCAAAATAAACTTAGAATCAATGAGATAATTTGTTATCTTAACGACCTCTTCAAAACCTGCTCGCTCCAAAAAAGGTTGAATCAACGGATCATGTGGGAAATATTTATGCCCACGAGTACGAAATTCATGAGTATCCTACAAAAAAAATAAAACATATCATTAGAACATTGTATTTGTTACAAAAAATAATAAAACATTTCATTAGAACATTTTAAATGCATTATAATGCAACAAATTAATACAACATTGTGAGTTATCAAGTAGAAATACTTACATACGACGCGATGTTGTTTGGTGTTCCTCGATGCGTTTCACCCATTGTTAACAGAGACATGACTTCTATAGTGAAATTTGAGGGGAAGTATTGGGAGAATTTGAATTGTTGAATATATTTGATGTGTTTTTTAGAATGAAGAGGAGAAGTATTTATAGATGAAATTTAGAAATTTGAAATTTGAAATTTGAAATTTGAATTTATGGTTGTATAGGTAAAAATTTAATTTGTGTAGTTGTAATATTTATTGATATTAATGAGATAGTTGAATTTGTGTAAGAAGAGATTGATGTGTAGAAATATTGATAGATGAATTCTTACACATGTCCTACTGCATGCATGCATAAAGTAACTTCTTTTACACGTGTCATAGGGGCTCCATCCCCCACGGCGCCCCCCTTGTAATTTAAAGAAGGGGCTCCATCCCCCACGGCCCCCCCTTATAACTTAAAGAAGGGGCTCCATCCCCCACGGCGCCCCCCTTATAGTTTTAATAATATTTAATTCGTGGGATTTTAATCTATATGTATACATTCAAGCAAAAAATAGTATACATCCCTTAAACTATCATTCAACCATGTCTAGAACATCCAATTACATTGTTCATGCCCATTATAATGGAGAGACTTTCATCTCTGAGAATTCTGGTTTCGGGTTTCAAAATACAGATCTCACCCGATTAACCATGAGTAGAAAAGAAAATTTTGTGCATTTCAAAGAGCGCATACAGTCGAAGATTTTGTCTGGTCAAATCTCCCAGATCATTTACAGAAGTCCTGTTTTTTTTTTTTATAACAATGAGGTCAAGTATTTTCAAGAGAAAATACTTGACAACAGCGATGTTGATCAAATGTTCGATAGTCACGAACAATCTGGCCTCGACTATATCGAGGTTTATCTGTTACTCTGCCAAACTGAACATGAGGTTGGTAAAACAACGGATATAGATGAAATTGATGTTGTGGACGAGGAGGAAGAAGATCCAGAGACCATGGTTGATCAAATGGTTAATTTGTTCGGGAGCGGGGACTACTCTGCAATGACTCCCCTGCAAGACATAGATGAAGAGGCCCTACCATTAAATCAAGTGTATTGTCCTCCTCAACACATGACGAACTTGCAATGCAGTGGCGACGATACTTCCTCAGATTATTTCTACAATCCTTCTTAACAAATTGAAAGTGTCTTGAAAGTCGGAAACCAGTACCGCACGAAAGAGGAATGCATGAAAGCCATAAGAAAGTTTCATATGGATAACTTTGTTGATTTTTACATCAATCGAAACGACTCAAAACGCTATGTCGTAGTTTGTCGTAACGCAAGTTGCAAGTTTCGGTTAGCAGCATCCTATCGGAAAAGAAGTGATTGTTCGGAGATAGGTTCGATGGATCCACCTCATAGTTGCACAACCAACATCAATCGGCAAGATCGTGGAAAACTAAGCTCTCAATTGATATCCCAAGAGATTTTGCATCTTGTGGGCGCGGATCCATCTGTGAAGGTGAGCACAATTATCTCTCATGTTGTTGCACGGTTCAACTATACCCCATCGTATAGGAAAGCTTGGATAGGTAGAATAAAAGCGGTGGAACATGTATATGGGAATTGAGAGCATTCTTACCATCAACTTCCATAGTATCTACTAGCACTTCAGAAATATGTTCCTGGTACGGTTGTAATATTGGAGTCACTACCAGCATACACTCCTGAAAGAACATGTGTTGCTGGAAGTAGGATATTTTCTCGTCTCTTTTGGGCATTTCAACCATGTATCAAAGGTTTTGCGTTCTGCAAACCAGTTATACAAGTCGATGGAACATGGTTGTATGGAAAATACAAAGGAACATTGTTGATGGCGGTAGCACAAGACGGAAATAATAATATATTTCCGATTGCCTTTACCCTGGTCGAGGGTGAGACAAGCGAAGCTTGGAGTTTCTTCCTCAGAAATCTCAGAACACATGTCGCACCACAACCCAACTTATGTCTGATTTCTGACAGACATGCTTCTATTGTGAGCGCCTACAACAATCCTGCTAATGGTTGGCACAACCCTCCTTCTGTCCATGTCTTCTGCATAAGACACATTGCTCAGAATTTTATGCGGGACATTAAAGACAGAAACCTCTGTAAAAAAGTTGTGAACGCTGCGTATGCCTTAAACCAACCATCGTTCATGTATTACCGAGAAGAAATAAGGTTGTCAAGCGTGGAAGCATTAAGGTGGGTGGATAATATTCTAGTCGAGAAATGGACTAGGTCATTTGATGGAGGGTGTAGATGGGGTCACATGACCACAAATCTTGTAGAATCCCTAAACGACGTATTTAAGGGAACTAGGAACCTCCCCATCACAGCGTTGGTAAGGGCAACGTATTATAGATTGGGGTCACTATTTGCAGCAAGAGGCAAAAAAATGGAGCGCTGTACTGCAATCAGGGCAAATATTCAGCGAATCAAGCATGAAGTATATGAGGGATGAAACTTCTAAGGCGGCCTCACATCGAGTTAGACCATTTGATCGTCACGATTACAGCTTCATTGTTGATGAGACAATGGATCACAACGAGGGTCGGCCAATGGGACACTACAGGGTGGAACTTCATAAAAATTGGTGCGACTGCGGAAAGTTTCAAACCTTCCGCATGCCTTGTTCACATGTCATTGCCGCATGTTCAACTGCTCGTCAGGATCCATTCTTGCAGCTATCAGAAGTTTACAAGGTCGTCAACTTATTCAGTATCTACAGTAGCAGTTTTCCAGTGGTAGCTAGTGAGGACTACTGGCCAACCTATCATGGAGACACAATCTACCACAATGAAAATATGAGAAGAAACAAAAAGGGTCGCCCCAAAAGCACCCGAATCACAACTGAAATAGATACAGCTGAGAAAATGGAAAGACTGTGCGGAATATGTCGTCTTCCAGGGCATACGAGGAAAAACTGTCCAAATGTTGGAACAAGTTCTAGGTAGATTTAATTTGGTCTTTAAAATTTGTGTAATCGTGCAATTTAATATTTATATCAACTTTTCATTACCACAAAAACGAATTGAATTACTTCTACAGCATAAAACGCAAATCATTAAAATACAACGATTATTACAACATAACCTAAGATATAACAACAATCAAAGTAATATCATCAGTTCCGAACATCATAGACCTAACTTCGTTGTCATCTCTAATTCGCACCCAGTCACGCCGTATGTTTCCGTCTTCAACAGAGAAGTACGAGACAAGTCTTTCAATACTCCTAATTCTTTCACCATTTGGAATGTCTCCTTCTAGCCACCGATTCAAATTTCTTCGTAGTTGTTCTAAACTCTGAATGTTCCAAAACAACATCCTTATCGGAGGCTTCGTCGGAGAAAAAATTACATGCCCATATCTTCTAAGGAACATGACTCACTCTTCTAAATTTGGATGAAACAATGTTAGCAACATGTCTACCTATTTATAAAAAAAATTTTGGAAAACCATAATATAATATTTTAATTATATTAATTATAATACATTTAAAAAATTAATTTCGTATAAAGGAGGCTCCAAGGGGCATGGCGCCCCCTTTAGGGCATTTAAGGGAGGCTCCAATGGGTATGGCGCCCCCTTTATAATTTGTAGGGTGGCTCCAACCCCCATGGCGCCCCCATACAAATTATAAGGGAGGCTCCAACCCCCATGGCGCCCCCTTGTAAAAAAAAATAAAAAAAATACCAAACTAGGATAGATTGGATAATATATTGAAAAGATGAGTAGTTTGGAAATATTAGTGTAGAAACTTGGTTATTTGGGTGAAAAAATCAAATTCCCATACTCTTAATTTAACATAAGCCTACCCACAATACAAACCGGCCCAAATTAATAAAAAACCGGCCCAATTTCGAAAAAACCCTAAAACATGTCTAAGGTCAATGTTGTAGTCACAGCACATTTTCTCTCTCCGTCTCTTTCTCTCTCTTTCATCCTGTTTTCTTTTTCCTTCTCCTTGCTCCAAAAATGGCGAAGCTTCCCTGATCTATGTACGTGTAAAGGTTCAAACTTGTTCAAACCATATCCGGGTCATCATTTCCCCCCAATTAACCGGTTGAATCAAACGGATTTCTCCGGTTTAGAAACAATTTCCGATCTCATAACACTGCTAACAGGTACTGTTTTTCTTCCTCTTTCCTCAAACATTCAACTACCCTTTCTTCCTTTCTTCAAATCTCAACACGGGTTGCATTCAAAATCATTTTTTTTATTTCTAAATTTTGCTTGTAGATCTTGAATTCTGTTATACTGTTCTATTTTTGGCTTGAAGATCTGATTTTTTTTTTGTTAGGTCAAATTATTCTTCTCTTAGATTAAAACCCACTAGCAGAAACATTCACGGTACGAGGATTCTGTTATTTTTCTTGTTGGGCTGTTTTTCTGCTTTGACTCTATTTGGACTTAAAACAAAGGTAGTTTTTTTCTTCTTCTTCCTTTGAGGTCACACATTTGCATTTTCTGTGTTATTATCATTTTAGGTTATTGTGTTATGTATTGTGTTTGTTAATTAAGATGAATGAGAATTAACCTAGATGATTTTTTAGGATATTTAACATAGTGTTATGTTATACATTGTTTTATGCAGTTTTTCTGCATCTTCTGGTGTTGTTATGGATGGAGATAATGGCCTTAACATAACCAATTGGGGCTACTATGAACCCGTTGCATCCTTTAAGAGCCATCTTGGGTTACAACTAATGCCATCGATGCCGGAAAAGCCTCTGCTTGGAGGACGCAATGCTGCGGTTTTGTCGGGTTCTAACGGTGCATTTCACCATAGGGACATTGGGTTGCCCCAAACTACATACCCTATGGACTATATGAGGGATGCATGGTTTAGTAGTCAGAGAGATAATAAGTATATGAACATGAATATGATACCTACTAACCCTCCGAGTTATAGTAGTATGCCCGAGACATCTTCAGCTCATCATATTCAAATGATTCGACCACCTGAATTGGTTAAGGAAGAAAAGCCGATGGAGGAGGTACCTGTGGTTGAGAAGTCGAACGGAAGTGGTAAGAAGAGGCAGGGTTTGAAGGTGCCTAAATCTCCCAAGGCAAAGAAGCCAAAGAGAGGACCCCGTGTACCAAAGGATGAGAATACTCCTTCGGTTCAACGGACACCTAGGGCTCCAAAGAAAACTACGGAAATTGCAATTAACGGTATTGATTTGGATATTTCAAGTATTCCGATTCCTATTTGTTCATGCACTGGATTACCTCAACAGTGTTATAGATGGGGATCGGGTGGGTGGCAATCTGCATGTTGCACAACAGCCATATCGATATATCCTTTGCCAATGAGTACTAAACGACGCGGTGCTAGAATAGCCGGAAGGAAAATGAGTATAGGAGCATTTAAGAAAGTTTTAGAGAAACTTGCGGCCGAGGGATATAACTTTTCTAATCCAATTGATTTGAGGACTTACTGGGCAAAACATGGCACCAACAAGTTTGTTACAATCAGGTAGGTCTATATTTCAATTGTCAACTGGCCTCTGATTCAATTCAACCTGTTTGTCATGTATATATATGTGTATTTTGCCAGAAACTGAGGCTTCTTAGATGGTTTGTAGTAGGAGAATTTTCAAAGTCACGAGACTTTTCCTTTTTCCCGTCTAACAATTTGCAATGTTTAACTTCTTTGGATTTAGTACGTGGGAATTCAATCTCTTGGTTGGTTGGTTGGTTGGTTGGTTGGTCTTGATAGATGATTAACATAGAGATCTTGTTTTATTAATGTTCAACTGACATTTTTTCCTTCTGTTCATAAAACCTATTGACGAATGATAGCTGCTTTCCCTTTTTGTTTTGAACGAAAAGAAATATGAAAAGAAATATGAGTTTCGTTGATCATATCTCTTATTTGTTGTGTAAATCCATGGTTCATTAGTATGACTACTGTAACATGAATTTAAAAACTCTGCACAATATATATTATTTTTGGTTGAATAGTCTAGTGGTTGGAATTAGCCATTTAGGGAGGATGTTGCGGGTTCGAACCCATCCTACATCTGATATTTCTACACAGCTACTAGCTGAACTGTTTAACAAAAATTTCTCTGCACAATATATCATGCGGCATACCAAAAGACTGGTGAGGAGAGTTGCTGTTTGTAGGCTGTTACAGGTTGTGCATACTACCAAAGTTTATCACACTATTGTCACATTCCATATTTTCTTGTTCAAGATTCTTAAGTATGCTAATGTCCCATGTTTTCCTTCTGTAATTTAGTGGTATGTAAGTTGAGAATAGGCTTCAAGCAAAATCATTCTTCTAAAAACTAAATATCCAGGATAAGCATGTTTTAGTTTTTTATTTTATTATTTTTTTTTATAGTTATATAGGATATTACTTTTTTGACATGAATTTTATATAAATGCATCAATATTTACATTTATACCAGATTTGTAATGTATCTTTTTTTAGTTTTCATAAGATGTTTTGTGAAATTTAGAAAACAATGTGGGGGTGACCTATTTTTTCTAAAGAAATGTTTGGTAGAAATCAGGAATCTCCATTGGATTATTAACAATATCCAGTCAAAATTTAATGTAAATGAGATATTGGAATTATAATGTTTTGATTGCCACTTAAATTTACAAAATGAGCGGTGTAAAATTAAGCGAGAATTTTTCTATTAGGAATTTTTTCTACTGAGACATGAATGGGAAATAAAGTCTCCTCGAAGGCAGGCACTTCGTGCACGGGTATAGCGAACATACCTTTCTCCGTTGGAGTCTCTGCCCTTGCTTGCCCTTGCTTAGAATATTATAATAGCCTTAATTTTTATATAATTTAAATTTTATGTAGGTTGATTTATCATTTAATATAATTTTTATTATAAACAAATTTAAAATAATACAGTTTAATTGTCGTTTCATATTATTTGTTTTTAATTTATTTTTATTGCTAATAAATATATTTATTTTATAGGATTAATTTTTTAATTTCTTGTGGGTAGATTTTAAATTTTTTTACTATTAATTTGGTTAAATTTAATAGATAAAAATTTATGTGTATGGATCTCCATAAAAAATTTGTAGATTTGTGGTGATTTGCAAGGATGGGGACAAAGTCTGCTGTGGTGGAGATCCGAAACAGAGATGAAAAATATATCTGAGAGTAGAGATTTAAGGGTCTGTTTGGTTCAAATGAGAGGGAGGGGAAGGGGAGGGGAGGGGAGAAATTTTAATGAAGGGAAGGGGAGGGAAGATGAAGGATATTTTTAATCAGATAAGTGTTTGGTTCAAAAGAGAGAAGGGGAGGGGAAGAGAGGGATTTTAATTAAAAATGTGTTTAGTTCAGAAGGGGAGGGGATGAGTTTTATTAATAATTTACATTTTTATCCTTATGACCTTATATAAGTCATATGATATTAAAATTTGAAAAATTCATGCGTATTTTTGTTGGTAATAAAATTTCTAATATTTAGTGATTAAAAAAGTATTTATTTGTCACATAAAGTTAAAAAATTGAGTACAATTGATTCAACTTATAACTTTCCAACCTAAATTAAATTGTAAGCCAATAACATCGTTTAAATTGTGATGAATCATATAACAAAACAAATATATAAAATAACTTATAATTAAATATTAATGGTTCAAAATATTTAATAAAATGAATAAACAAAAATAACTAAAATGAATGCTTTACAATTTGATATAAAAAAAATGATAGAATATATAACAAAATTAAAAGAAAAAAACGAATATAACTAAACATAATTTTTTTAATAAAAAAAGACAATGATTATGATTTATCTTAAGTATAGAAATTATAAAATAATTTGGTGGAGAACAATTATAATAAGTTGATGGAAACAATTGAGAAAAAGCAGTAACATAAAAAAAACGAACAATTTTGAAATATTGAAATTAAACTGAGGATATTTTAATAAATATAATAATTTTTAAATATCAAAACTCATATTCCCTCCCCTCCAAATCCCCCCAATTCGGAGGGAACCAAAAAGTGTGTTTTGGAGGGATTTTGCTCCCCTCCCATCCCTTCCTAAGATTTGAACCAAACATATTTAATTAAAGATTTCCCCTCCCCTCCCCTCCATTTACCCCAAACCAAACACACCCTAAGATGGGAATGTATCCTCTGTATCTATCCCGTTCTATTGACATCCCTAATATATATGAATGACAATAGTTTTTGTTTTCAAACTATTAATAATTTTATTTTTTGTTTTTTTAGTGAGACATAACATAAAATCAACATAATATCAATATTAACTTAACATAGCATAATATAGCATAAAGTTAACATAAACTTATTAATATCTTAACATAAATTTATGTAAAAGTGTCAGTACATTTTCGACCATACAAAAGTGTCAATCTTCGTCAAGTCTAATTATTGGCTCTTTCAAATCTCTCTCTCTCTCTCTCTCTCTCTCTCTCTCTCTCTCTCTCTCTCTCTCTCTCTCTCTCTCTCTCTCTCTCTCTCTCTCTCTCTCTCTCTCTGATGTATGTATTATAGCTTTATATTCCCAATGGCTTATGTGTCCGACATATGTTCTTTTTAATTCTCTTGCACTTTCACTACATTTCTCTCTCTAACGACTAGTAATTAGAGGAAATGAACATTCAAATTTCATCTTTAACTGAATCCAATGACAATTGTTGACAATATCAACTACAATAAATTTATGTCTAAATGAACACAAATGGAGATAACATAAGTGAAAAAAAGGTGATCTTCAGGTTCTTGTACAAGGTAACCAATATTATACTATACCTAGAAGAAATTGGATAACCTATATGATCATCCATTTGTCACACCCCTAAGCGAGGGTTCTTGTATAAGGGTTTGCTTGCTAAGCGAGGATGAATGGCGCGCTAAGCAAGATATGCAGCAAAGACAACTTCCAGATGAGTTGACTCGACTTAGGAGAAAATGAACACATGTGTGCTAAGCGAGCTACGAGCCTTGCTTAGCGAGAAGGCCACATTAGAACCCTACAAATAGGGGTTCTAGTCAGTTTAGTGGAGATAACTTGTGGTGGATTTTTAGTAGTTATGCTAGAAACACACTTGATACTAAAATCACAACAAGAGAGAAAAAAGAGGAAGATTGAGGGTGGAAGCGATATTCGAGGAAGCATGTCATGCCATAACTGTCCAAGATGACTAGCTCATATAGCTGACCAAAAAGAAATGCTCGCCAGGCCGAGATAAAATCAAGTATATTGCGAATTCTTTCTGCAATTCCTTTTGCAGGATTAGATCATAAAGACCCTTATACACATCTTCCAAAGTTCTATGAGCTGCCTAATACACTAGGAACTCTAGAAGTTCAAGAAGAGATAGTATTCATGAGATTGTTTCCATAATAATTAATTGAAAAAGCTAAAGAGTGATGTCTTAATCAACCAACACAAGTGATGACCAACTAGAACATATTGGAGGAAAAGTTCTTGAGTAGGTTCTTTCCCTCATAACAAGTTCATGAAAGCTAAAACAACAATTGTTGTGTTCTCTCAAGGTGCAACATAAACTCTATATGAAGCATCTGAGATATACAAATCCATGTTAAGAAGATGTCCTAACTGTAATACCCTAACTTTAACCCCTAAGATCCCATATATCATTTGCATCCTGCATCATAAACAAGATCACCAAACATCTCTGTTTTTTTTTTGCTTTGTTTGATTTTATTTGATTGCTCATGTTTACTAACCCTAATCAAAATACCAAAAATATGTTTGTTTTTTTCTTTACTAGCTCATTTTTCAGGAGGAGGTTTGGAATTAAGAACATAAAATACCAGTTCCTCAACTCGAATGAAATTCATTTGAAAAAAGTCAAAGTTGATATGAAAACAATTCAAAATCATCTGATTAAGAGTTTCTCAAGATTTGATTGTTTATTGCTTAAGAGACTCTAAGGTTCATGTGTTTATTTCCATGCCTTCTTTGATAAGTCAAGAGAATCGAGCCAGAGCCAAGACAACACAACAAAAAGCCATTTTTCTCAATTTCTCACTGTGTTAATCAATTAACCAAATTTGTACATAAAGTGGTTAATTGATTAACCAGTGCGTTTTTGTGAAAAATAAGCCAAATTCAAATTCTGCAGCATTTTGGCCCCAAAATTCATTTGTTTCATCATGAGAATATTCTAGATTACCTCATTTTAATTTCCCTACCTCATGATAATTAATTCCCATCATACACCCTCATTAGTCACCACTTAATTTTGATTTTGCCTCCAAGTTCAATTTTCAAGCCTAGATCAAATTCTAAACCAAATTCCAAACCACCAAAATTTCCAAGCCTAAATTTTATAAATAGAGGTCTCATTTCATTCATTCTTCAAGCTTTTGGGAGACATTCACCTTGTCAAAATTCTCTCTCATTCTCTTCAATCACCAAGTTCACCAAAGCTCTTTCTTCCATTAAAAGTTAGTAAACTTTTCATTGAAGCTTACTAACATTTGAGGTAAAACCTTCATCCA